GGATGAGTTTGTGGAGTGGTCTGGACAGAATCATTTGCTGCTTAACCTGGACAAGACCAAAGAGATGGTAATTGACTTCAGGAGGAAGGGAACTGCTCCACAGCCCCTCTCCATTTTGGGGAGGGATGTGGAGATGGTGCAGGAGTACAAATACTTGGGTGTGACTATCGACAACTGTCTGAACTGGAAGACAAACAGCGCATCTGTGTATAAGAAGTCCTTCAATGTGTGCAGTAAGATGCTGGAAATGTTCTATCAGTCTGTCGTTGCTAGTGCCTTGTACTCCTCAGTGGTTTGCTGGGGGAGTAGTATTGGAGCCAGAGACTCCGATAGATTCAATAAGCTAATTAGGAGGTTCACATTGGCTGTGAACAAGAATCATTTGAGGCAGTGATGGAGAGGAGGACACTAAACAAGCTGTTATCAATTATGGATAGCTCTGACCATCCTCTCCGATTTGTGCTTGATAGACAGCGGAGCTCCTTCTCTAAAAGATTTAGACAGCTTTGTTGTTGTAAAGCACGTTATAGGAAATCTTTCCTGCCTTATTCCATCAATTTGTACAATACATCATCTTTGAGCATTAGATGATTCCTGGATTGACAGGAATTGTATACTGAATCACCTTTTGTATAAATTTGCATATGTTTGATTCATCATGTGATTATGTATATGTACTCGATTGTGTTGGTTTTTGTTTTTAACTTTTAATGTATTTTTATTTGTTTTATATTTTAGTGGGTTTTCTATTCTATTTATTGGTATGTGTGCTTGATATTGAGTGTGAACTGCTGCTGAAACAATGCAATTTCCCAGTTTGGGATCAATAAAGTATTTCTATCTATCTGTCTATCTATCTATTCGGATTCAATGTCCCCACTCTCCCTCGGCACCTGTTTGAAGCTCTGTCGGAGGTGGGAGCTGAAGACCACTCTGACTGGGGCCTCGGCCAGATGTTACCAGCAGACCCTCACTATATGCTTGGGCCTGCCAGGTCTGTCCAGCTTTTCCCCCTGCCATCGAATCCAACTCACCATCAGGTGGTGATCAGTTGACAGCTCAGCCCCTCTCTTCACCCGAGTGTCCAAAACAGAGGAAACGACTACAAAGCCAATCATCATCCTCCGGCCAAGGGTGTCCTGGTGCCATGTGCACTGATGGACACCCCTATGTTTGAACATGATGTTTGTTATGGATAAACCATGACTAGCACAGAAATCCAATAACTCACCACTCGGGTTCAGATCAGGGAGCCCATTCCTCCCAATCACGCCCCTCCAGGTATCACTGTCGCTGCCCACATGGGCGTTAAAGTCCCCTAGTAGAATGACAGAGTGCCCCGTGGGAGCGCTTTCCCTTCCTGAGCCACCGGACAGTTCTCCAGAATCTCTTTGAAGCCAACTGAAATTCTTCCTCCATGGCCTCACCAAACATACTCCCAGGCCCGAGTTTTTGCCAGCATGTTAAAAATGAAATTCCTTCACACACAGTGCATTTATCATTGACTGTTGTGACTGTATTGTTTTTAGTTTGTTATGAGCCTAATTCCAACTGGGAAGAATTCTTCTGAGAAAAAAATCTAGTCACATTAAATTAGGAAATGTTATTTGACATTTCTACCATAATGCTTCACCTGATGGTTGTTTGAACCTAGCTCTGCAAAGTTGTTCTCCTCTTTCCTGCCCTCAGCTCATTGTCTCTGCTTAAGCCTCCTCCTGTGGGAAGGCGCTGCCTACTGTAAGCACCCAAAATTTGCAGGGCTGGCCCTGGATCTGTTGCTGCCTTAAACGAGTTGTTGCATTTCATAATAACAATAAAGGCTAAACATAATCGCATCTCTGTTTGACATGGAAATGTTGACAGCCGCAAGCATATGGCATTTAACACCAACATGTGACAGAGCTCAAGGGTCAGCTAACAGTTAAGCTAAGATTATGGGGAAGTACACTCACCGGCCACTGTATTAGGTTCGCCTATACAACTGTGTGCAATTCAGTGCAACATTTCTTAACCTCTGTGTTTATGAAGCTAAAAAAAATTTTCAGTGTTTTGTGAAATTGTCATAAATGTATAAACTCAATTATATGTTTATTATTGAGGTCATAGTTCAAGGTGGTATTGTAGTGGACTACAGGGTACCTCACCTCTAAATATCATGTAGAGTTGTTTTTGGCAGCCTGTTTTAATTTTAGTTTTAGTCTAGTCTTTGTGTGAAGCTGTCATTTTAGTTTTTATTAGTTTTAGTCACATTCATACTCTTTATGGTCTAGTCTAGTTTTAGTTGACAAAAACTGATGGCATTTAGTCTAGTTTTAGTCAGTGAAAATTGTATTTTAGTCTCTTTTTAGTAATGCAGTTCTATTTAACCCAGTCAATATAGTATAAGTACCTAGTAGTATAGAGGAAACAAAGTTTCTTTTAGCCAAATCCATTTCAAACAGTTATCTTATTATATTATTGTTACCTTATAGACTCAAGAATACATCCAATACACATTTTGTGTGATTTTGTGGCCACATTTCTCCCCATCTTTTCCCACAACACATTGTTTTCTTTTCCACTTCTATGTAATTAAAGTTTATCCAAATGTCGTTTCTTCTTTTTCTCCCAATGGAACCCCGGCTGGCCGGCCATCAGTCCCTTTCTCTGTGTCAGACTTAACTTTGTTTGTTGTCTTCTAAATAATGCCGCGAGTGGGGTTTAAGGAAGTGATGTTGCCTGCATCTGCGCAGTGCGGCTTGATGCGGCCCCTGAAGCGAGACACAGGAAACAGAAATACTGCAAAAAAATTAATAATGCAACTGAACGAGATGTGAACATTTCATTTCATTTCGTTTTGGTCAACAAAAAGGATACATTTTGGCATAGTTTTTATTTTGTGAACCACATTTAGTCTCGTTTTTTTGTCAACAATATTGCATTTGTTCTTCATTGCATCTTCATTGGGTCCTGCCTAGGCCCACTACCACACATTATACATTTAATTATAGTCATCGTCACACGACCAGCATTTTCGTTGCGTCTCGTCTCGTTTTCGTCACGCAATAAAGGTTCGTTGACGACGATATTTAGTCATAATTTTCATTGATGAAAGCAACTATAGTACCCTGCCCAGTTACATACACGAGAGGGTCACAATGAGTATAAGAAGTCTTGAGTCAAAGTAACAATACTACTTCACAATAACAGAATCAGTAGACTTTCAAACTATGTAAAATTTGTCAAGGTTGTGTGAAGATGGATTCTGGTACCTAAAGTAATGCTGGATGCAGTATTTTAACTGGACAAGCCAAACACCATTTCCTGTGCTGGCATGTGACTTATTCTACTGTAGTCAGTGTGCATGCACATGCATGTGTACTCACAGACATTAGCCGTGCCCTTGGGAATGGGCAGGTAGGAGCCAGCACTCCATGCTCGTCCCTGATAATTCCTCTTACAGCGGCCACAGTCAGGCCCAGTCGTATTGTGTTCACACTCGCAGCTCAGCTTCTCTTTGTCAAATACACAGGTGTTGGCATGAAGATTGCACTTGCACCTGTCAAACAGAAGGAAGAGGGGATGTCTCAGAGAGGGAGGAGGAGTTCGAAGAGGACAACCACATCAACATGACAGATTTTTACAGCTCTGAATGAAACACAGCTTTTATTTTGTTGGACAGTGTTGCTCAGGGGTAGCATGTCCTTGAACACAGTCACAACAGCTACTGAAAAACAGTCGTTTCTTTAGCTCCAGGATCAGCAAGTACATAGGTGAATGCTCAGGAAAATAAGCAAAGTTAGACAATGGAACAAGTATCAGGAGAAAGAAGGCATCTTTGGCCATTACCGACCTGATGGAGGACATTACAAGTGCTATGGATGAGAAGAAATACACGATAGGAATATTTATTGACCTAAAAAAAAGCATTTGACACAATCAATCATGAATTATTAATGGACAAGTTAGAAAAATATGGGATCAGAGGAATGGCTCTGAAATGGATTAGAAGTTATTTGACACAGAGGCGTCAATTTGTGAAGTTGGGTGAATATCAATCGAGTGAGCTGGATATTGTATGTGGAGTGCCTCAGGGTTCTGTATTGGGACCTAAATTATTTATATTATACATTAATGGTATATGCAAGGTTTCTGATTTAGTGAAAGTGGTTTTGTTTGCTGATGACACTACCATATGGGCATCGGGTGAAAACCTACAGCAACTCTCTGGACGGGTTACACAGGAACTTGAGAAGATAAAGAAATGGTGTGATAGTAATATACTATCTCTGAATTTGGATAAAACAAAATTTATGGTATTTGGGAATCATAGACTAGATAATGAACTTCAATTGAAAATTGGGGGAGCTAATATAGAACAAGTATATGAAATTAAATTTC